CGCCATAGCCCATCCTTCACCGAACACGTGCGGAAGCCGGATGAAAACTGTGAAAACCGCGACGTGCGGTGCGTGTGATGTTGAAGAGTTACCTACATGCAGTCATTTTCATGGTGATGTTCATGTAGTATGTAAACTCTATTCCAGTCCCAGACATCCTCTGGTCTGGGGTGAGATCACCGCTCGCGCAGATCTCTCTGTCTCACCCTCCGATCGAAACCGATTCACGGCTTGGCGCCGTCAGCCGGTTCAGGGGTCGCTTCGCTTCAGGGAAGGGATCACCGGTCGCTGCCGCGTTCCTTTTCGGAGCTGGCAGGATGCGCCCAGGCTGGCCCAGACAAGGCGTTCATGCCGGACTTCCCGAGGTGTTCAGGTTTTCAGGTGTTCATGTCGGCAAAGCCCTGTGATTGGAATGGCAGGAATGGCAGTTTTTGTTGACGCGTGTGTAGGTCCCCTGTGACCTCCAAGGGGAGATTTTCTGCCACATGGAGACAGGACCCCTTCCTACATGTCCACCCAATCCAGCAACTACCAGCAACTCCCCTCCACTTCGTAAAGCCTTTATCATGCAAAATACGTATCCAAATCCCCTTCCCAAAACACCTGGGCTACTCCACCTCCGCCTAGGCTACTTAGCGACAGGCAAGCGTCATGGTGTGGCTCTTCCCAGCACCGGTTTGTCCATAGGCGAAGAGACAACAGTTGTAGCCTTCCAGCACGTTCTTCACCAAGTCAGCACCTCTCCATGCAGACCATCGCAACGGCAGCGCAGAGCTGTGGTGAGCAGGCTAGATGCGCAAGGGAAGAAGCAAGAAAGTCAAAGCATGCAAACGGAAAAAAAAAAAAACACAAAGAAGGAGAAGAACACACTTCATCTGCGATTGAATTCTGTAGAGTGCCCCCTAAGTAGATGCAAAGGTCGCCAATCCAGGTTTGGGGAAGAACTCACCGACCTTAGGACAGTGTTACTAACACCATGGAGTGGCAGCACACACACACACTTACTAGTAAGTTCCAAGACATTCAAGAACATTCAGAGCTTGCCCCTTTCATCCCCTTTCCAAGACCATCCAAAGAATTCGAGAGACGGCCAAGCCATGCTTTCATAGCACCGCTCGCCGCCTTTTCCACTCACTACTCAAGCCAATCCCCCAGGTCCAATTGGGTTGCAATTTGAGAACGGGGGACCTCCTTGGCCCAATGGATTTGGTCTGCTTGGTTCCCAGAGGTCGAACACCCGAATCATCCCAAATCCACGAATCAAGCATCGACACGGCACCTGCGTGCAAAACTCGCCCGGGCCTATGAACACATGAACACATGTGTCATGACTTGACATGACATGACACGTCGGCGTGGGCGGCGGCGCAGGAAAAACCCGACTCTGGGCGGGGGTCGCCCCAAAAAAACCCTTCGAAGTGCTGGTCCACTGCCATGTGCCCGTATAGACCGCTTTACGCTTTCCGCGCTAACGGCGCTGGCGACCCGTCGCGACGGCGACCAGGGCACCAAACTCGGTATAGACCGCATCTTGGGTCCCCGTATCATTGCTGGGCTCCAGGGAGCTAAAGCAGTGGTCGTAGGTGAAGCTCCTCAAGACGCGCGGTCCGCGCGGTTCCGCGCTCCGCGCCGGATCCGGAGCGGAATCCGGAGCGGAAGCACCGGAGCGGATCGATGGAAGGCGAAGTCGCCCCGGTGGGCGGTCTTGGCAGTCCGGTCGTCCGAAAGCTCGAGGAGGGCACCAGCAAAATGGAAGGAGTTCCATGGAGTTGGGTGCCGAACGGAGGGAGGGGGTGCCCCTGTCATCCACGAGCCCTGGATGGACCTAAAAGCCACCCAACTCCATGTGACTCCTGGTTCAAAACAAAGAAATTGGCTATGACATGTGATGGTCCACGGCGCCGTTGATCGTCCACGACCACGACTGGGACATGAAAAAGCCAGTCGTTCGTCATGGAAGATTGTGAGATCTTCCAGCACCTGCAACGCCAAACTACCGATCTGTTTTGCGTATGCCGACAACTGCTAGAAACGTTTACGATCCACCATCCACGATCCACTCTCTGACGCCCAACCGCGCCGAGATGCTTAATTTGCCCATCCGATGCCTGCGCGCTTTTCGGTCGGCGAGGGTGGGTGAAGAGGCTGTGCTGTGCGGTTGCGAGGTTTTACACATGCCATGACTTGCCATAAATAAAGACACTGCCAGAGGTCACAGGTTGGGGAAGCCTGTTATGTCAGGAAGCCTGTTGGCGCTGACCTCGAAGCATGTCGGTGACTTTGGTGGTTCTCAGCTACCAAAACTTTGGTCTTGCATGCTTGATGCTTGGCATGCTTGGCTGATCTTTTCAGCAGGGCATCAACCATCATCAACCCGTACCACGGCCCGACTAAAAACAAACTCAACAGGTCACCAATGGAGTCCCAACAATAATTGTTTGACCCTGAAATGGATAGAAGTTCGTAGATCTCTGTCTCGGGAACCCTCGGGAACCACGGCCCGACTGAGTCGGTGGTTCCCGCTTGCGTCGCCTGGCCTGCACGACCACGGTCGGCTGACTGGTGGGCACGCAAATCGCGCAGGTGCTGGTGATTTCCTGCGACGAGCGAACAGATGAAGTGGAATGATTGGGATACAGCATGCAGCTCCTTTTTTTGGTGAACGTTGTGTGACGGAGATAGAGGGAGTACCTTGAAAAAAGATCATGCCGAAAGTACAGAAAAGTGAAGATTTAACTTGTGCGTGTGATGACTTGGGCCACTTGGGCTCTGCTCAAAAACCAGTGGATGCGACCTCTGGTTTTGCGGACTGAGAAGGTCGAGCAGGTGCTAGCTAGTGCTAGCTAGCATGCTATCCGGCACCACTGAAGGAAACCCTCAAACAGCGAATGCCTTGCAAAGTGCCCAGGCTGAAGGGATGTCCATTCTTACCAGGCTTTCTATCAACTCAACCACTTATGTGTCAAGAAATTATGAACACACAAGGACCCCTCAAGGCACTCTGACAGACTCCACTCTTGGACCCCTCAAAACGAAGGGTGATGGTGGTTTGGTGTTCGGTTCCTTTTGATCCAGTGCCCCGCTGCCCGACGACCCAGAGAAGTGGAGATGGGCTCGAGCCGACGACCGGGAGAGGACACACTTCGAGAGTCAAGGTGATCGCACACTTCATATTTGGACCCTTTGCCCCGTTCGTAGCTTCTTGTTCCTAGTAGTAAGGCCAGGAGCCCCTAAGGCCCGTTCGTAGCGTCCTTGTTCCTAGTAACTTGGGACTTCCAAACTATGCAAAAAGGACCAATTGTCTGTCAATGGTCGTTCAACCTCATTCAACCATCCTAGAGTAGTTAGGTATTTAGAGCATGTGAATCGTGTCAATCAAAATGACCCCGTTCGCACTGGAGAACCCTTCGTGTACACCTCACCTCCTCTCTCAGTAAGGCCTGCTTCATCATTCCGGTGTCACGAGCGATCTTCCATCTCCGTCCGATCCATCCAGCGATTCTTCATCCCCCCATCCCATCCCATCCCATCCCATTCCGTCGTCCCAAAACGCTCCGGAAAAACTGCCGTCGCCGTTTTCGTTGGCAGTCCGCGTCGCGTTTTCGCGCCGTGGCGTGGCGTCGCGTCTCGCGTCGCGGGTTTTCTCTTCGTCGGCCGCCTCGTTCTCGCTCATCGGCCGGATCCGGATGGCCACATGGATGTTCTCCGCCATGTTCCGCGGTTTGCGGAGCACGGTGGAACCGGGGGAGGACGCACGAGCGGAGCAGAAGCACGAGCGGAGCACGACCAGCAGCTGTGGGTGATTCTGGGTGGTGGTTCTGGGTGATGTAGCAGCTCCAGTGCCGCAGACTTCAGTAGAAACTTCAAAGGTGTGTAGAAACGCGCAGAAACAGAAACGCATAGAAACGTGCTTCTGGGTTTGGAAGAGAGCTTTTGGGCCTAGGAGAGTAGAGGACGGTGGTTGATCCACGTTCACGGCTGTCCAGTTGGGCTTGCATGATGAGTTTCTTCCTGGACCCTGGGTGGTACGGGCAGGTTGGGGGTAGAGATAGTTTGTTCTTGGGAGTCAGGAAAATTGGATTCAAGAAAGCGTGGAGCCGGTCAAGGGTGGGTGTCCCAATTGGTGCAATTCTGGTCAGGCAAGTGGTGAATTTCAAAACCATGACTGGGATTCCAGCCTGTGCTCGCCAACAAACGGTGATGATCATTGATGTATAGTATAGCTGCTATCAATGATCTGATTTGCCGTTGCCTCTTGCTGGAAGCAACGTCCATGTGAATTCGGCCACTTTGAGCCTCCAAAGCAAAAGCAGCAGTCAGCACTTGCTTCAACCAGCTTCCGAGATCCATGAAAACCCTGTGGAGGTCCGTCAAGTCCGAGGTTTCTACCACAGTGCGTAGTTCATCGTCATCCTGGATGAGACATTTCAGACTAAAGGAGGCTCGGCTCGCCTGGCCAAAACCGGTTTGGAGCTCCGGTGGAGTCACTTGGAGCTTCGTTGGTGACTACACGGATCTCTTTGGAGAGGCGTACCTATGCCCCACCGGGTGGGGGTTTCCTTCACCAAGGCAGAAAACCTCGGGGTTGGAGGTTGGATCGTTTCTGCGCCGGACGTCCACCTTTTTTCCTGCTTCATGGCAGTCAGTTAGATGTCTTGGTTGGTGTCGGAAGCCTCTCTCCTTTACACTCGTCCTGTTGACATCTGTCATAGTGGTTGTGTCCACCAACACCATGGGGAGTTGTGCCTGGAGCTATTTCCACTGGTTGAGGAGGATGCCCAATCTGCTCTGTCTTGTGCCTCCAGTCGTTGCGGTTATGTCCCGCTTTATTCTTGTCCTGTCAAATCCCCATGTCAAAAAATACATTAATGTCCAGCACCTTCCTTCAAATCTACTTGACTCTACCAGAAATCCCCTCTGAAACATCATGATCTCCCAGAAAACCAACGCCCCTCCGGTTCTTCAACCTTCATAGCCCGGCAGCTCTCGCAGGTGGCTCCTCACGGGCCACGTTTCTGCAAGACCAGTGCATAGTCTTGACCTCAGCCAGGGCGGTTCTACACAACCGAACGTCCCAGATCGAAGTTGTCCCTAACCGTAAAAAAATGGTTATATGTGCGTAGTAGTTAGGAACCCAGAACTCAGACAAGGTCTTTTTTTGGCGGGGTGGGTGAGTGGGTCCAAACGAAAGGTCGCCCTAGTCCAGGGTTCAACGGTTCTACCACACCTGGTCTCCCCGGCTACACCGAGACCGGCCGGAGATCTGGACGAACGGAGTCCGGTGAAAACCGGTGTTTTTGATTCGGATATATTTATTGAGTTATACTAGTAACAAGTGCATGGCTAGTAGTAACAAGTGGCATTAGCAATCATGTTCGCTAGGAAGTAGGGGCTCCTGGCCCACCGAACGGAGCATCCTTACAGTCAGCGTCGCGAAGGACCTGAACCGTAGCGATGCCCGAAGCATCACATCGTCCATCCATCGCGTTGTTCCCCACCGAACGGAGGAAAAAAGGATGTTCCAGTGGCCGGAGAAAAGACCCCAAACGGACGGTTCGTGTTGATTCTTTTCTCTAACCAAAGCGGGTCCATCCATAAAATCCATTCCTCCCAACCCGCACACTTTTCAGCACCACGACAGTCCACTCAAATGAAGAAGAAACCAAGCCACCGAAGCTGTGCCCCTCAAGCTGGCTGCTCTCCACTCGCTGGCGCAAGAGGCCCAAGTGCCTGGAGTTGCCACTTCAGTGAATGGTCGGATGTGGCCTATACTCGTAGGGCACCTACGCCTCAGATGCGCGCGTCAATGGGAGCGGTCTTGCCATATCTGAGACAAGTCCCCAAAAGCAACATCGACATGGACAGTCCCCCAGGTGACCTTAACACCGGACCCAGCGTTTGAATTCGCGGCATGGCGGCGACTGTCTTGACCGCCGGCATCGCACCTCTGCAGATCCTGGCGCAGCTCGTTCTCCACCCGCTCAAGCTCCTACAGCACAGCGCAGCTTCTTTTAAAAGCGCTCCGGTGCTCGACTCACCAAATGGATAAGTTGTTTTTTATTGGGATTCCTTTTTTCTGACCCACAACCCTTTTTTTCTGACCCACATCCTTTTTTTCTGACCCACAACCCTTCTTTTCTGACCCACAACCCTTCTTTTCTGACCCACAACCCTTCTTTTCTGACCCACAACCCTTCTTGTCTGACCCGCAACCCTGCTTTTCTGACCCACAACCCTTCTTTTCTGACCCACAACCCTTCTTTTCTGACCCACAATCCTTCTTTTTTGACACACAA